AGATACAGATTATGCAATATATTTTCATAAAAGATACTGCACTGACTTCAATAACCATTTCTAGAGAAAGGCTGTTTAAGTACTGGATTGGAGCACACAGATGTAAGACATTTCCTCTGGAAAATATTGCCGTGCCTCCATGTATACGATTAGTGCGTGCAAAACAACTTACCAGACTGAAGCTTCCAAGACCAAGGTTTTGAATAAGATCATTATCAAGCCAATGCTCTGATAGAAGTAACAGATCAATACTATTGTAATCCAAAAAATATTCTAAACGGTCCATTTTATTAAATAAACTTTGAATGTTTATGTTGAAGATTCTCAACTTGTCCGCACCATCGTTGCATGGCTCTTGCGGTTGTCAGCAGTTTCATGATCTTCACTTGTCATCTGTACGAAAGAACTTGTATGGTTTTACTAGCGTACCCTCCGGCCATTTGCCACTGTCAGAAGAGTTTCTCTAACAGCAGAGTCGACTTTTATTTTAAACGATTCAGTTCGACTATTCTTCCATTTAGGAAGCATTTCAATTTCAAAGTTAGTGTTGGCAAAAAACATTTGCATATGTTGCTTTATGCCAGTAACGCCAGTCCCCTGCGAGATTCTTCCAACGTATATCCAAGATTTTCGTTTGATTGCATTTATGGTAAATGCATCAGATGATCCTGTCCCAAAAATAATATTACTCGGCATGTATAATGTATATGATAATATGATGAAGCAAAGTTCACGTAACGGCCAGATATTTGTGAATATTGAAGGGGTATCGTATGTGGAGTGAAGTAGTAGTTCAGGATTTATCCAGAGCTATATAGTGGTGATCTTGACTTTGACCTTGAGCATCATAACCTTGAACGACAAATCAAGATTAAAATCATTTCCAAATGGAACCCTACACATTTGACATTGGAAACAGATAAAACGAAAAATATTACGCTCATATAATATGATTGAGTTCACATTATCTTGACCTTGAATATATCTGGTCAAGGTCATGTCTAAAAGTAAAATTTTCTGCTCTGTCCGTTTGCAGAACCTGATGTATAGGATATCATGCAAAAAATGTTTGGACATTGATTTAATTGCCAAAGGTATGATCAAAGTCAGTTCCAAGGGCACCAGTGTCAGGAAATTGGAACCTTGCTGCAGTTGAGCCTTCTCTACAGACACCTCTAAAATTTTGTCTAACAATATTTGTCAGCAGTGTCCTTGACAAAGACGCTCAAGGTTAGAATAAATTTATTAATTATGATTCTGCTATAGCTAAACGTAAAATAACCAGTTCTATTAATTACCGGATTGAAAAGTATAAGGTAACATTTGGCCGTCAAGGTCACGGTGAAGCTAAGTTTCAGGGTCCTCAGTGAACAGCCAGAGAAAAATTTAAGCTCCTGTTGCCTTTGGATTCATATGTTTGCTTAATCTTTAGATAATTCCTTGAAATCGAGCATTTTTTATGTTGGCGTTCAAGGTCATATACATTTTCACTAACCCACATGAACCTCAAATCAAAATAGGAAATGCTTGTAAAAAAGGGGAATCACACGCAAATAAATACAAGTAGTTCTATTTGAAAATTTCCACAAATAGTCCGTTTTGCGTTCTTGACCGCCATGTACAAACTATCCGAAGAACTATCACAGTAAATATATAGGGATAAGATGGGATTTCACAAATTTTTTTGTCTAAAAATTTATTATTCTAACCTATAACGTTTCTCGGGCATCAATTAGTAACTGCAGACAGTATAGCTTATAAACTAGCTATGAAAATTGCCCCCAAAGGTATCCAAATCTGGATCGACCCAAATTAAGTCATATTGGGTCAAATCGCATTAGCCAAATTTTCAGATTGATGAGTCAACGCTATGGGCCCCTAACCTCGAAAACGTGTTTTTTTGAAGATAGTTTTTCACGGCAATTGATTGCAAAAACGATTCCTAATTGTTTTATTCTATTATAGGTTCTTGAAACAATATTACTGAAATTACTTCTTAGAATTTTTGATTAGGTAATGAAAATTTTGTAAACTTAAAAACCCACAGTATATCAGTATACTTTATCTGAAGTCACTTGAAACACTGTGAAATACCGGGTGCGTTTTATATATCTATATTTAACACGCTCTGTTGCTGCAAAAATCGCCAAATTTCGCAGCAAATATATCCCGTATAAGATCAAAAGCAGTTTCACCGGTCCACGTGGAGTAAAGCACGCCTATGCGTGGACATAGCCAATGAGAAATCGTGTATTTTAGAGCTCCGAAAAAGTGCAGGTGGCTACTGAAAATTGAAACAGTTTAGCCAGTGCCGTGTAGCGGTGAATAAACGTGTTTTCTTTAGTCTGTCCGTGTTTTTTCATAGATTTTATTAGTTTGTGTGTTTTTGACTTTTGAATACTCAGTTTACTTGTTGATTTAATTGTTGTGTTGATTGTTCTTGTGTGTCCTAAATATGGCTCTTTGGAGACCTTGGGAAAATGCTCCAAGCCACGATGGTTGATGAACCTGTGCAGGCAGAATTCTTTCATAAAGATTTAGAGGAACAGACCCAAAGAGTAATCCTAAATATGTATGATTGTGTGAAAAACGAAAATCCAGATTCCTCGCAAAATCAAATTTTAAACAGAATTTGTATCCTGACAAAAATCAGTCGGTCTACCATTTATCGGGATATAAAAAGGGGAGATGTAGTCAACCATTCCTTCCACAGAAAGCGCATAGGGCAAAAATTAAAAAGAATAGACGTGGGTTTTCAGGAAAATATTCGTCGTATAATATACGGATTTTATAAAGAAAATTTGGTGCCCACGTTGGAAATGATACCGGATAAATTAAAAGATTATCCTGAAAATTTTTATAATTACAAATGCTTAGACTCACTGCACTGTATTGTAAAACTGTGTGGTTTTCGATACAAAAAATTAGTTAAAAGAATGGTGATTATGGAGTCGTCTCGAATCGTTGAATTGCGCCAAGAATTTTTGCACAACGTTAAAATCTATAGAGAGCAGAAAAGAAATCTGATTTACCTGGATGAAACGTGGTATGATACCCATGATGTTGTGCAGTACGGCTGGGTTGACGACAGCAACAAGTGCATTTTAAATGCACCATGCAACCGTGGAAAACGAATCATTATTCTCCATGCTGGCAGTGAAAATGGATTTATACCTAATGCCTTGCTGTTATCTGCCAAAAATATCAAAGAATCATGTGCCGACTATCATGAGGACATGACCTCCGACTTATTTGAAAAGTCAATAGAGCGGCAGTTAAAACCAAACATTTCCCCAAATTCAGTGATTATTATGGACAATGCGCCATACCATTCCCGATAGAAAAACAAAATTCCGAATACAGGCACAAAAAAACAAGACATTATTGATTTTATGAAGGATAAGGGAATGGAAATACCACAAAAATCAACCAAAGCCATATTATTGGATCTTATTAAAAGACAAAAATTTGAAAAAGAGTATGTTGTTAACAATCTGCTTCAGCAAAATGGCCATGAAGTATTACGTCTACCTCCCCATTACTGCATTTTTAACCCGATTGAGTTGGTCTGGGCTGCTTTAAAGAAAAAAGTAAGAAAACATAATCAGACCCCTCAATTAAGTGAATCGCTATTGGCCACAATAAGAGATGCAGTATCTCATATTGCTGCCACAGACCTATGGAAGCAGTGTTCTAGGCATATTATTGAAAAAGAAAATGAATATTGTGTTTTGCCTCCTGTAAATCCCGTTGTAATTCCTCTACAAGATGACTCTAGCGACAGCTCCGAAGGCGAGGATGATATATAAATACCTATAATGTAAGTCTTTATATACCTTTTTATATACCTACCTGCTATGTAAATATTTGCCTATGTCAAACATTGGAATTCTGTAATTTTTCCATTTCTTAACTTTCAGTCAACATAAATTAAACTCCCAATATAAGTATTTTTTATCCCAAATCAAAAAAATAAGAAGATAGTAAAATCCATTTATTGTGATATAAAAACATTATTATTATCGTTCTAAATAAATCACCGCACGCCTATGATACGTCATGAAATTACAAAGGACGCGCCGACCAAAGGTTTTTATGCTATTTCAAATGACTTCAGATATACCATACTTGCTTGCATTATTTCCAGATCTGCTAGCAAAATCCTGAATGTTTTCCCGGAAAATCGCCAAAAATCGGAAATACCACATTTCCACCGATTGTTCCAATCATAAGCTTGCAGAGTTGAAAACACGGCAAAATTATGTATTTTTGTCCATTCTTCCAGACTCTACAGTCGAAATTTTGATTTGTTTCCCGGAAAATTGTGAAAATAGGAGGAACGATGATTTTCTTCAGCTCTGAAAACAACGTGAAATAGTACATATATGCAATCGGTTTCCAAAGATTGAATAAAATCCACGAAAACACCATTTATTATATGTTTTTCATAATTTTCCGGGAGGTGGTTTGTCGGATTTTTAAGTTGACCAACATACACCCCACAGTAACAATTTCAAAAATCGGAGAGAATCGCTGAAAATGCGGTTTTTACAACTTTTTGGCGATTTTCCGGATAAAAAATCATGATATTATTAGTGACTTAAAAATTTTCCGGAATTTTCTTTACGAAACCAAAAAATCGATGAAACTTTTTAACAGGTTTTTTCTTAAATATATGTTATATGTTCCACTAATATATAGAGAATCATGGTTACTTAGGATATAACAGTGAAGCATCAGTATTTTTCTTTAATTTTCATTTTCATATAATTATTTTCGAAAAAACACGTTTTTGAGGTTAGGAGCCGCTAGAAGCGACATATCGATCTGAAAATTTGGATAAGGTGATTTGAACCAATACCCGTTAATTTGGAGTGATCCAGATTTGGATTCCTTTTGGGGGCAATTTTTTACGTCTGTTCGCATTGTGGTGCGAACGTGATGCTGACAGGGTTACTCTTTTTTCCATTCTTTTGAAAAGGTTTCTTTTTCTGCTTCAGGTCTCAGGAGGTCGCCATCTCACCCTCCTGGTGGTAGATGACCAGAACACCGATTGGAGCAAGTACTTCCGTGGCAGGAAGATAGTAGACTATGATATACGGGTCGAACAAGCTGAGTTCAAAGAGCTATCAGTTACTGCTAATTCAGACACGACCAATGTTTCGATGGCAGTACTGAGAGGTGGTACGAGAGTTGGAAGAACGTTCAGACCGGATTTCCTCTTGGTGAGTTTATCTTCACTTCTAACGATTCGTTGCCGCTAATGAACTTATTAATTTGTGAAGTATCCCAACTAGCATTTTGTTAAAATGGCCTACTGTAGATTGGTCATGCAATCTTTTAATCTGTCTTGTTGTTGAATTAACGTAGAGTGCAACCTGCTTATAATGGACTCGGCGGGACTATGACAAATAGTCTATTATATACTAAGTGACATATAAATCCGAACACCCAGTTTAAATGGTTTTATTTTAATAAAATTTTGTATAAGTACTTAATGAAGCATAATAAGTAAATGACAAAAATTTCAAAATGATTGCACTGCTTCAAAGCCCTTTGACCTTTAATAATGTGTGGATGCACCCTGATGTGCTACGCATTCTCCAACGCGCCTAGGCATGCTTCTGATCAGGTGGTCAATGTCCTCCTGTGGTATCTCATTCCAGGCAACCACCAACTCCTCTCGAAGTGCTTCTAGAGTCTGAGGAGGACGTTGCAAATTGAGCAATCTCCTACCCATCATATACCACTCGTGCTCAATTGGGGATAAGTCGGACGATCTTGGTGGCCATGGTAACAATGTGACATCATTATGTTGCAAGAAGTCTATTGTGGAGTCCGACAATTCCTGTGTTGCTATTAAATTATTGTCAACATTTACATACTCATTAAATTTGTCTATATTCAGTAAACTATTAATTTTCAGTAAATCACTTAATGGAATTTCATCTTCTGGATTAAAATCGTTGACTATTTCAGTTATGTTTTTCACTAAGCCAGCATGGCGAAAACAATTGTTTCTGGAATAACCAGTTCTCATGCAATATTAAGCAAATTTATAGCCTCTAAAATGGTGACAGCTTTGGTAATGTTGACATCTTGAAGCTCCATAATTTTCATCAACATATATTTCCGTTACATTTGTTTAAGACTCCAAATGACTCCCTGGTCCATTGGTTGCGGAAGTCATGTCACATTGGGTGGAAAAAATTTAAAGTCGACGTTATTAAATGAAATATTTGGATGAGCGCGGCAGTTATCGACCAAGAGCAAAATTTTACGATTTTTCTTAACAAGTTCAGCGTCCCACTTTCTTAAATATTCTTCAAAATTTGAGTCATTCAAGCTTTATTATTTCCAACATAATCGACGGGAATTGTTTTAACATTTTTAAAACACCTGGAATTCTTAAATTTCCCTGATATAAAAAAAGGTCACAAATTCTTTGCACACTGCCATTTAGTATCAAAAAAATTAGAACATGAATGCCTATTCATCAATAGTCTTCGTTTGTCAGTACCAGGAGCATTAACACAAATCATAACAGTTATTCGCTCTTTTGATAGTTTCCCTCCATCTTGCCTCCAGTTTCACCTTTTAATTTATGAGTTTTATCTGGTAGGATTCTATAAAATATTCCGGTTTCATTACGGGCCAAACTTAACTTAACGTTCTTGTCAACTGAAGCTGACTCACCACACATTTTTTCAAAAACAATGTTATGTATTTTCTTAAACCTGTCTAGCCAACCGGAACTACATTTGAAGTAATCTCCCATCAATTTCCCAAATTCTTCAGCCTTTATGTGTAGCATAGGTCTACTTATTGGAAAATTATTAGCACGCTTTTGTTGAAACCATTTCAACAGAATATCATCGACCTGGGGATTCAACGATAGCCGCATTTTTTTCTTTTGACTATTTGATTTCTAGCCATTTTTAATTTAATCACGGTTTTCCCAATTATTTGACACATTGGACTTTTTTATAGCCATACGAGCACATATACAGGGTGTTTCAGTTTATTGTTGCATAACTTTAAGATTCGATAGAACTTTTAAAATTAATGCATAAAGTCTATATAAACATGGGTCGAAAAATGCGTGGCTTCCGAAATACAGGGTGTTTAAATTTACTTTCTAAAATAGTTTTTTTTTAAATATTTCGAACAATATTTGATGAATAACAGTGAAAATTGGTATACAAGGGTTTCTTGGTACGACAAAACGAACCATGGGCATAGTTTTACCGTAGCCGCTAGAGGGCGCTCTCTACTGTACCTGTAGTGTATTAAAATGACCGAAAATTTTTTCTTAGTGCAATTTTTTGCTTTTTGAATAAAAAAACTCATTCTTCGCACCTTTCGTCATAAAAAAGCTTTCTTGTGAATCTTCGTTATAGTTAGCCGTTTTTGAGATATTTCGATTTTTAAGGTTCGATGCATTTTTAATTATTTATGATAAAATAACGTTAAAACGTCAGTATCTCGATAATTTTTAGAAGTAGGATGTGCCTGTAAATATTTTTGAAATTGAAAGCAGAATAAGGTTAAACGTCAATTAGTTGACAGTTAGTTTTGTTGTCTGTTGAAACCTGAAACGTTTTTTTGCAATTGTGAATGCACGAAATTTAGTTTCTTTTACCTGTTTTTTTTTTGTAAGTTTTATAAAAATGCCATTTTGATTCTCCAATCAAGAGTTAGCGGATATTTATTTTGTGTATGGCTTGGTAAATGGAAACGCAGCAGAAGCAGCCAGAGAATATGCACGAAGATTTCCAAACAGACGATATCCAACTCGCGCTCAGTATTTGTAAGAGTGCATCGCCAAATAATTGAAAATGGTTTTGGAAATCTCCAAGGGGATCAAAACATAAATGTTCGTCAGCGCAGATTTACCCGTATGATTCTGCGTGAGTTTGATAGAGATCCGACCACAAGTGTTAGGAGAGTTTCTGGTGCCTTGTTAATTTCAGCAAGCCATGTTCACCGTGTTCTTAGAAATGACCATAGACGTCCTTACCATTTGCAACCTGTGCAAGGACTACAGCCAGGGGATGGAGAACGAAGAATCACATTTTGTCAGTGGATTCTTGATAGAACTGATAATAATAGGGAGTTTTTAAGTAACGTTTTATGGACCGATGAGTCAAGCTTCACTAGACGTGGAGTGGTAAATTTTCATAATCAACATATTTGGTCACATGAAAATCCGCATGCAGTTCGGGAAAGAAATTTTCAGCATGAATTTAGTGTGAACGTGTGGATTGGTATCTACCGTAATCGACTATTTGGACCTTACCTTTTGCCTGCAAGGTTAAATGCTGCGAGCTTCTTGGAATTTTTAAAGGCTGAACATGCAAATATGTGGGATGATGTTATGTTAGATTTAAGAAGATTGGCCTGGTTCCAGCTTGATGGTTGTCCAGCTCATTATTCGAGAATAGTTAGAAACTGGCTGGTCGAAAATTATCCAGAAAGATGGATCGGCCGTGGAGGACCAGTCGCCTGGCCTCCACGATCCCCTGACCTAAATCTATTAGATTTCTTTGTGTGGGGATTTCTAAAAGAAAAAGTGTACCAGACTCCCGTAACCACAAGAGATATGCTAATAGACAGAATCAGGAATGCATGTGATGAAATAAGGCCTTATTTGAATAATGCTATACCACATTCGATCATTCGTAGATGTGAATTGTGCATTGAACAATTGGGTTTACATTTCGAGCAACTACTTTAGATTTTGTATGTTTGTCCTAACTGTCCAATAGCATTTTACTTGTAAATAATTAATTTAATTTGTTAAAAATAATATTGGAAAATTAAACAAATTAATATTCTGTTTTTTTGTGTTTATTTGGAGTTAGGAATTATTGCTGTGTTTAAAATCACAATCTAAACGATCATCTTAATTACTTGTAATGCCCAAATCGAAAATGTAAAAAAAATATTATTTTCCCATAAATAATTAAAAATGCATCGGACCCTAAAAATCGAAATATCTCAAAAATGGCTAACTATAACGAAAACTCACAGGAGAGCTTTTTTATGCAGAAAAGTGCGAAGAATCAGTTTTTTATTCAAAAAGCAAAAAATTGCACTAAGAAAAAATGTTTCGGTCATTTTAATACACTACAGGTACAGTAGAGAGCGCCCTCTAACGGCTACAGTAAAACTATGCCCATGGTTCGTTTTGTCGTACCAAAAAACCCTTGTATACCAATTACTGTTATACATCAAATGTTATTCGAAATATTTAAAAAAAAACTATTTTAAAAAGTAAATTTAAACACCCTGTATTTCGGAAGCCACGCATTATTCGACCCATGTTTATATAGACTTTATGCATTAATTTTAAAAGTTCTATCGAATAATAAAGTTATGCAACAATAAACTGAAACACCCTATTTGCTTGAGATGAACCCTGCTCGAGCTCATTAATTATTGTGAACTTTTCGTATAAAGTGAATACACGTTTCGCACTTTTCGACATGTTTATAACTCTAATAAATACAGTATAAGACTGGTGGCCAAGTACGAATGCAAACTGCGAAGCCAAACCGCCGTAAACGAGTGCATCAGCTAAGTCTGCTTCGGGGCACTACCAAAATAGCTCGCGTATAATGGATTAAAATAGTCCGCTATAAGGGTCTATTTTAAGCAAGTCTATAATATCCGAGGATTTTACACGCAATTATTTATAGGACCTTAGATTGTGTCCATTATATACGGATTTTCATTATAAGCAAGTTTATCATAAGTGGATTCTATTGTAATTATACTTTGGGTCCAGTCCGAAGACATCACTTTGTTTATTCACTATGTAGTCCGCCCCTGGAGTACGATCCGCGCACCAAGTTGAAAGACGAGAATCCCCACCTCCTCGCCGCGCCCTGGCCACTCGCGTTGAATCATTCGCTTTTTGGTGCGCGATCCGTGCAGTCGCCCGGCCTGCTTCAGTTCAGAAAACGCGTGCGATTTCTCTTTTCGGTACATAGTGCTCAGTGAGTAGGTAGGTAAGTTCACAACAAGGCTATTCTTTTTGATACCACTTAGCAGTCTGTTACATAATTGATTGGCGTATTCAACCAGATTGAATACGTTAACCAATGGTTATACTTGTTTAACAGAAACCATGGAAAAATCAGGAATTTCGGAGGCCAATTCACCCAGCTCCTTGAGAGACATGATTCGGGCCATTTTACAGGAGGAGCTCGAGGCAAGGTCA